CATTTTATAAAACACTTTTTTTTGGATTTTCAAAAATCCATCTTCAATCCCATGTCACTCAATTACTTTAGATGTAATGGCATATAGATGTGGCATTACGTCAAATCCTGGACAAAAGCTAGCGGCAGCTTTCTGTGACATTAATTGTCCTCGTCGCGTAGCTTCCTACACATGTTGACCGTTGTGCACATCTTTACTGCATTGTACAGCTGGAAAAAAAATCAATGTAATTAATTTTCCCGATAATGTATATTGATTGGAGACATCGGTAATGTTTGGCTACTTTCTATCACTATCAGATCTCAAAGGGATTACTTAAAGAGACTCTGTAAGGAACCATTCAGGGTGTTATGGCTCTGTCTATTTGCATCTTGCCAGGATTTTAGATCATGATTACACAATGAAAAATGGTTAGTCACATTATTTCGTTTCCTTTTAAAAAATACTGTCGCAGAAGATTCATATAGTCTTTTAACAGGATTGAAGATGCTTTTGTGAGCAGTGTGAGTGATTTTTCTTGGTCATAGAACAGTATGTAATTGAGATCACATGCTCCGTGGAGAATGGTTTTGATAAATTCATAGCTGGCTACAGTTCTTTCTGTATCTAGGCTACATCGTATTTACGTGAAACAGTATTGATTTTGAGTCACATGCAAGTCTTGATAAATTGTTCTGTAGGTTTTTATGTGTATTGCCACAATCTTCACTAGTAGTCAGATGGTTAACTTGGACCACTCTTTACACATCCAGGTTTTGTGTGAGAGGGTATTGCCACGATCTTCACCAGTAGTCAGATGGTTAACTTGGACCACTCTTTACACATGCAGGTTTTGTGTGAGAGGGTATTGCCATGATCTTCACCAGTAGTCAGATGTTTAATGTGTATTGGTTGGCCACTGCAGGATAATATTTATTATTTGAACCACCTAATAAGACCACCTTTCAGTTGGAATGTACAGGCTTCATTGAATGAATGTTTGTTATCTTACCTAAATTTCTTTTATTTTTGCTTACTCCCTTGTGCATGATAGGCTTTTGCATATTAACTTCATACCACAAGAGAGAGTGAGTATGGTTTTACGCCGCTTTTAGCAATATTCCAGCAATATCATGGCGGGGGACACAAGAAATGGGTTTCACACATTGTACACATGTCGGGAATCGAACCCGGGTCTTCGGCGTGACGAGCGAACGCTTTAACCACCAGGCTACCCAACCGCCCCCATACCACAAGACAGGGCACTGGGGTAGCCTAGTGGTTAAAGAGTTTACTCATCACGCCGAAGGCCTGTGTTCGAGTCCCTGCAGGGGTACAATGTGTAAAGCCCAATACTGATGGCCTTGTTATGGTGCTGAAATTATGCCAAAAGTGGTATAAAACAATACTCACTCACCCAATCCAATTCGCATCAGAATTCTGAATTCCTTATGATTTTCCTGATGTGATAACACTGTTAAAATATCATCTCACCTAGTGTTATCTGCAATTTTCAAATCTTGATAATGCCTCCTTTATTCGCATTATGTTGATATTATTTTCACTATGAATAAAACTAAATGAAATTGGAAGTGAACATAATTAGTTCAAAAGTAGCCATTTTAGTTAACGCTTGTGACAGCTGATGCAGTTCAATTGAGCCTTACATCTAACAGACCATGGGCCATCCCTTTGTTGGAGGATTCCATAGGGAATAGCATCACAGCAGCCGAAATCCTTCCATTAAATTGACTTCATATACCTTCTGACAAAACTCTGAAAGCTGGTCGTAATGGTGGCATCTGTGGCTCATTGGGCAATCATAAAACTAGAACCGTGGAGATGATTCTGGCAATTTAGGATGTTGAAGAGCAGGATGAGACTGCAACTGTCCTGATGATGCTTGTGCGGCGCTCCGCTCCACTTCTTCTGCTTGCATCAATCAATTAATATTTGATACCACAGCATGTACCACTGGGGATGGCAACACCAGCTTGGAACAGGTCTGTTTTCTGCTACTGGGGTGGCAACACCAGCTTGGAACAGTTCTGTGTTGTGCTACTGGGGTGGCAACACCAGCTTGGAACAGTTCTGTGTTGTGCTACTGGGGTGGCAACACCAGCTTGGAACAGGCCTGTGTTGTGCAACTGGGGATGGCAGCACCAGCTTGGAACAGTTCTGTGTTGTGCTGAGATGGCAACACCAGCTCATTTTAAAGAGGTCTGTGTTGTGCTGAAATATCTTGGCTAACTAACCATTAAACCTGTGTCCATGTTAATCTACTGATCCATCTAACCCTACAATGAAACATTGTGACAGATGAAATAGTTCATTCAAAGGATTGCCTTTCCTTTCTATTCAAATCCAGTTGTTCATATTTCAACTAAACAGTAAGATTTATGATGCAACCGTGTATCCATGCAACCTCGATTTGCATGTTCTGATGCATGGCTTACCATGTGTATACTGTCTTTGTTCTGATGCAATATGATTTGTATAAGTAGATTCCAGGACACTTTAAGGCAATCCCTTGAACTGCCAACTGTTGACTTGACTGTAGGGGATGTTGGACTTATACTACCACTATCTGCAGTCAAGTCTGTAAGACATCACTCAGGAAGTAGTCTTTGTGTGAGGGCTCTTCTGAGATCCTGTTCTGGGATAACCGACTCAGTATGTCATTGCTCCATGATGAGGAGCACACGGCAGGAGTCCACTACTCTCGTCCTACAGTGAGAAGATTGGTTTGTAGAGGTCCTTCAGCTCTCTGGGGCTCAAGGAACATCAACAATAGGCCGTGACCAGCACCTTGACCTTGACCTTGACCTTGGAGCCTGCTCTCCTTCTTGATGACCCATTTGGGGCTCCACACACTCTGTACATGTCGTGGAAGTTTACGTGTACTGACAGGAGGATTGGGTGGTGACAATGTCTGACCTGGCCGATTGTGGCCTTGTTAAGCAAACGCTGTGGATCTTTTCGGATGATGTCAACCAGCGATTTGCTGGTCTGGATTTGAATATGTGTTTGGGACAGAGCTGTAATAATGTGTTCGTTCATTCATTCATTCATTCATTCATTCATTCATTCATTCATTCATTCATTCATTGAAACAACATTCACACTCACTCACTCACTCACTCACTCACTCACTCACTCACTCACTCACTCACACACTCACTCTGGCCATAAGGAAATTCCTGGCAGGTTTTCTGTTCTGTTGAAGAGCTGATAAAATATGATGGGCTAGTCATAATGGCAGCCTATTGTGAACAGTACTAATTGAATGTTTCACAACCCCATTACATTAACATGGTCTTCTAACAATTGTAGTGCTAGGATCATGTCATAACACAGGGACCTGGCTGGGTTAGTGTAGATTCAAACCCAACAACCTGGATAACACGCATTGATATCAATTAATGAATGCTCACCGGTATAGAGTGTTTGTTTTGTTTTTATGGTAAATAGGCTTACTATGTTAGCTGATCTTCAAACCTAGTCAGCAGACAACTTAGTTAGTCTGATGTAATACCTAGTTAGCAGGCAGTTTAGTTAGTCTGATGTAATACCTAGTTAGCAGACAGTTTAGTTAGTCTGATGTAATACCTAGTTAGCAGACAGTTTAGTTAGTCTGATGTAATACCTAGTTAGCAGACAGTTTAGTTAGTCTGATGTAATACCTAGTAAGCAGACAGTTTAGTTAGTCTGATGTAATACCTAGTTAGCAGACAGTTTAGTTAGTCTGATGTAATACCTAGTTAGCAGACAGTTTAGTTAGTCTGATGTAATACCCAGTTAGCAGACAGTTTAGTTAGTCTGATGTAATACCTAGTTAGCAGACAGTTTAGTTAGTCTGATGTAATTTAATCATATTGATCGAGTCAATCTGTTTGTATGTTTCTCCATGAAGTTCACCATCATCCAACCTCATTGTTCAACTAGATCCATTAAGTACAACAAACAGGTCTCCCAGCTCCCATTTCAGCAGAGCCCAGGGCTAAAGTACATCTCATATATGCCTGCTTACGCATGTCTGAGACATTAAACAATATTGACTTAGGTAAGAAAGCTAACAGCAATTACAACCTTCAGCTATTATGTCCTATTTCTCTGGTCAATAATTATCGACATTGTTGTCATATTTTCACATGTAAACAATAAAGTGTTTGTTGGCCGATTCTGACTCTGTCTTTGAATATGAGAACAGCCATTCCTGCTATGCCAGCACTGGTGATGTTTTGACTGCAAACATATCATGCCACTATCTGGGGAGTATTTATTGCGAAGCTAACATATCGGTTATCTTGTATAAATCAATAATGGCAAGTACGATGTACACAGAATGTAAGCTCCACAATCATCTGTGGGTTTAGCTTGTAGAGTTTATTTCTGCCCACTGAGAGTTCTCGTAGAGAGTAATTTTTCAAAATGTCTTTGGTATCAAATTATTCATTTGAATTTGATACAATAACGTATATTGTGTTTGTGATATCGTATTTGCTGGATATTTATGCAAGATTAAATTGTCTTTGAATTAAATGTGGCACAAAGATGTATATCTGTATTGTAGTCGGAATGTTTCTTTTATTTATTGTTGATATTAATGTGAATTTTTATGATACATCATTGTACAGATGTTGAGTCTGTGGATGTCAGTTTTATTTCATGACTCAGTGTTATGAGTTCTTCTACTTCCGATAAGCAATTCAAGCTATCAGGGAATCTTTGTTATAGAAAATTACAAGCGTTTTGATGGGTGTTACGATGTTCGCGCGTTTGCCGTGACAAAAGACATTTATTCGCAGGCACTACATTCCAGTTTCCAGGAAATTCCCACACATGATTAATCTACATGCTTCGGCTTTGAGATCTACAGAACGACAGGCAGGGATGGATGGAGGCCAGAGCTTTAATCTTGCCATGCATGGGCGGCCATATTGACAATTTTAAGTGTAGGCTCGGGCAGACAAGTCAATTGCTTCGGAGGTGATATTGATTAGTGTGCATTGTTCTTGCAGGCTATCAATGTGACAGCGTAAAGTGACGCCAGCAACGCCAGCAACTCCGACCACAGTCAGTTCTACCCCACCACTCCTCAAGTGTCTTTGACACAGCTGCCTAAACTCCGCCAACATGGCCGCCTTCATAGCAAAACAGATGGTGGGCAACCAGCTCAAGTCTGTCACAGGTGAGTGATGACAGTTTGATGTTTGATGCTACCGCATGTTCCACATCTAGTTCAGTATGTTGATATGGTTTGGTAACTGTTTGGTAATTGTTTGACTTCACGGGATTTCTTTCGGGTTGTTTTATGTCTGTGATTAAAGCAATGGATTGATTCCAACAGTTTCTGGTTCTAATGATCAAAAGTGTCTGATCTTGTTGCATTAAAGCATTTTTGAAGTATGTGTTTGTTGCACTGAATGTCACTTACTGCAAATGTTTTTTACGTTTTTCTTGGACGCATGTGGGCAGTACCTATGTCAGTGGTATTTGCTGCCTGTTCTTTATTATTAATATTATTATTATTATGAACAACTTAAAGTTTTTTGAAGTGAGTTATTTCATTGAAAGAATGCCATATTTGAGCATTACCTGTATTGATGGTATCTTGAAGATATCAATTTGTGAATTTGCAAGTTTTTAATGTGTGTTTTTGCATTGACTCTGTCATATTGAGCTGATATTGTGTTTATTGGTTCTTGTCTGCAAGTTGTATTGATATGACGCTTTGAATATTTGATATTGCCCACCACCCGATAAGGCTTCTGTGGTTGTCATGGAGTTGATGACTTTCAGATCCAGAAATAGACAATTAATGGTAAAGTCAGTTGATATTATGAGGAACTCCAACCCATGGGAGGCCTTGTGTGGAAGTGTGTTTGTGCTGGCCTAATTCACTAAACCATTCCAGTAATCAATGAACGAAGAAGAGGCAGAGATCGCCGTGCCATTGTCACCTCCTCTACCTGACTATGATGAGTTTTCACATCTACATGAATGTTTGTGTTATACAACAGCTGTGAACGTGGCAAGATTGGAAGGTGTATCTGATGGAGTGCATGGCAGAGATGAAACAAACACTAGTCCTTATAATGATGAGATATAGCAAGACCCTTTAAAATGGCAAATGTCTTCAAGTCCTTATGATATCTTAACTAATGGATAGTTTGGTAAGGACTATAGGACTAGTGCAAATTTCTGTCACTGCATGGTTGAGGGGAGGGTATTCCCACATGTGTATATGGTTGAGGGAAGAGGAGGGGAGGCCTACTTGTGTATATGTTTGACGGGAGGCCCACTTGTGCATATGTTTGAGGGGAGGCCCACTTGTGCATATGTTTGAGGGGAGGCCAACTTGTGTATGTGGTAGTGGGAAGGGGAGGCCCACTTGTGTATGTGGTTTAGGGGAGGGGAACCTGTCAAAAGTGAAGGTGCTTATCTGTGAACCTGGTGAAGAAAATATCTACATGGCCAGTTGTAGGGGTGGGATTGTGGGTGGAAGTATACCCTGTTATCTTGATGTGCGCATGGTCCAAGGTAGGGTATGCCGGTCTGTTTCTATCTGAAGGAGGAATTGCCTTCATATCTATATTGCTGAAGAAACTGATGAGGCTCCAGACGTGGACAAAATTTAAATTACGATGATGGGGGAACACAACATTTGTACCTTCCCTAGCTTACTGGACAGACTGGAGATCCAAGTTCTTGCTTAAAGATTCAGAATGATTTCCTTTGAACAGGCCCATGTTTTCATCTCATCTGCTAACTAATGCAAGGTGTGGTCGTCCACACAAATCAATGACTGGACTGGTTTTATGGACGTAATTACATTGTGTGCATTGGTGTGGCATGAAACTGCCAGTGCCCATGAACGCTCCCTGGGAAAGTATGTCGAGGATTCAGTGATAATGGCATGTTGGAGAACAATGAAAGTCTGTTCATGGGTTTGTAACCACATCATGTTTACCAAAATAATAGTTCCGGGAAAATTCACAAAGGGCATTTGTTCCAGATTGAAGGAACTGAAACTGTAAAGCATTAGTAACTGTAACAAATACCATAATTCCTCCAATAAGCACTGGCTATGTCAGATTTAAATTGTTTCTCCCTGGAATAAATAAATGATTAGAAATGAAGGGTCCCATTTTAGCACTTTCGGTCTTTAGCATCACACATACATACGTACGTACATACGTACGTGATCCTTCAATAATCAGATGCAGAGTATGTGTCAGTTTGTTAGTGACTGTAGCTTTTGCAGCACCATAGAAACCATAGAAATATTTAGCATCAGGGCTCAAATTTCAGGATGATTTGGAAACTTATTAGAGGAAATATGGTAGTTCAGACTGATGCACAATGGATGGCAGGCTTTGTGTGTGATAGTTACTGCATGAACGGACAGACTGCTCTACAAACAAATTACTTGTATAGAGTGTGTATCATACTGCTTTTCATACTGACATGTACCTTGTCCAGTTAATCTTATGGATTTTCTGCTAGAACACTAATAAGCATGTCTGTATCAAAGAGTTGATACTCATATTGGGTGTTGAACACGTTATCAGTAATACTTTTGTTAAGATCATGGATACAGTGTGTTAAACAGGTTAAAAGGGTTACATGTTGTCATGGACGAACTTGGAAAACACCCAAATTAGATGACAGGATCCACATATATATACTCCTCAGAGCACATACAGTTCTAGCAAGGATGCCACGATCCACATATATACTCCTCAGTGCACATACAGTTCTAGCAGGGATGCCACGATCCACAAATATACTCCTCAGAGCATAAACAGTTCTAGCAGGGATGTCAGGATCCACATATATACTCCTCAGTGCACATACAGTTCTAGCAGGGATGTCAGGATCCACATATATATACTGCTCAGAGCACATACAGTTCTAGCAGGGATGTCATGATCTACATATATATACTCCTCAGAGCACACACAGTTCTAGCAGGGATGTCATGATCCACATATATATACTCCTCAGTGCACATACAGTTCTAGCAGGGATGTCACGATCCACATATATATACTCCTCAGAGCACACACAGTTCTAGCATGGATGTCAGGATCCACATATATATACTCCTCAGAGCACATACAGTTCTAGCAGGGATGTCAGGATCCACATATATATACTCCTCAGAGCACATACAGTTCTAGCAGGGATGTCATGATCCACATATATACTCCTCAGAGCACATACAGTTCTAGCAGGGATGTCATGATCCACATTTATACTTCTCAGTGCACATACAGTTCTAGCAGGGATGTCATGATCCACATATATACTCCTCAGAGCACATACAGTTCTAGCAGGGATGTCATGATCCACATATTTACTCCTCAGAGCACATACAGTTCTAGCAGGGATGTCATGATCCACATATATACTCCTCAGAGCACATACAGTTCTAGCAGGGATGCCATGATCCACATATATATATACTCCTCAGAGCACATACAGTTCTAGCAGGGATGTCACGATCCACATATATATATACTCCTCAGAGCAAATACAGTTCTAGCAGGGATGTCAGGATCCACATATATACTCCTCAGAGCACATACAGTTCTAGCAGGGATGTCACGATCCACATACATACTCCTCAGAGCACGTACAGTTCTAGCAGGGATGTCACGATCCACATACATACTCCTCAGAGCACATACAGTTCTAGCAGGGATGTCACGATCCACATATATACTCCTCAGAGCACATACAGTTCTAGCAGGGATGTCAGGATCCACATTTATACTCCTCAGAGCACATACAGTTCTAGCAGGGATGTCATGATCCACATATATACTCCTCAGAGCACATACAGTTCTAGCAGGGATGCCACGATCCACATTTATACTCCTCAGAGCACATACAGTTCTAGCAGGGATGCCACGATCCACATATATACTCCTCAGAGCACATACAGTTCTAGCAGGGATGCCACGATCCACATATATACTCCTCAGAGCACATACAGTTCTAGCAGGGATGTCACGATCCACATATATACTCCTCAGAGCACATACAGTTCTAGCAGGGATGTCGGGATCCACATTTATACTCCTCAGAGCACATACAGTTCTAGCAGGGATGCCACGATCCACATATATACTCCTCAGAGCACATACAGTTCTAGCAGGGATGTCACAATCCACATATATACTCCTCAATGCACATACAGTTCTAGCAGGGATGTCACGATCCACATATATACTCCTCAGAGCACATACAGTTCTAGCAGGGATGTCACGATCCACATAGATACTCCTCAGAGCACATACAGTTCTAGCAGTGATGTCACGATCCACATTTATACTCCTCAGAGCACATACAGTTCTAGCAGGGATGTCATGATCCACATATATTTACTCCTCAGAGCACATACAGTTCTAGCAGGGATGTCATGATCCACATATATACTCCTCAGAGCACATACAGTTCTAGCAGGGATGCCATGATCCACATATATATATACTCCTCAGAGCACATACAGTTCTAGCAGGGATGTCACGATCCACATATATATATACTCCTCAGAGCAAATACAGTTCTAGCAGGGATGTCAGGATCCACATATATACTCCTCAGAGCACATACAGTTCTAGCAGGGATGTCACGATCCACATACATACTCCTCAGAGCACGTACAGTTCTAGCAGGGATGTCACGATCCACATACATACTCCTCAGAGCACATACAGTTCTAGCAGGGATGTCACGATCCACATATATACTCCTCAGAGCACATACAGTTCTAGCAGGGATGTCAGGATCCACATTTATACTCCTCAGAGCACATACAGTTCTAGCAGGGATGTCATGATCCACATATATACTCCTCAGAGCACATACAGTTCTAGCAGGGATGCCACGATCCACATTTATACTCCTCAGAGCACATACAGTTCTAGCAGGGATGCCACGATCCACATATATACTCCTCAGAGCACATACAGTTCTAGCAGGGATGCCACGATCCACATATATACTCCTCAGAGCACATACAGTTCTAGCAGGGATGTCACGATCCACATATATACTCCTCAGAGCACATACAGTTCTAGCAGGGATGTCGGGATCCACATTTATACTCCTCAGAGCACATACAGTTCTAGCAGGGATGCCACGATCCACATATATACTCCTCAGAGCACATACAGTTCT